ATTAGTATTTTTTATTTACCCGACGATTATTGAATATATGAAAGTCTTTGACCAGAATATCGCGAACGAGTTCCGGATCCGACACAAAGAGTACGGGTTTTGTGATTTCGTAGATCCCAAATATTTTACCATTTCGTTTATACAAATCCTGTTCCCATTCATACCATTGTTTTGTGAATCTCGTGTATAGACTCACACTATCGGTCTTCACTCCCTGTGTCTCCCAATACGTGCACTGAGAGGACACATATCTATTGATTTAATTAAATTTTTAGTATTTATTCAAATAAATATTTAAGACATGTGTTTAAATACCTGTGGATCAGATATACTGTGGCCAATACACAGGCGGTAATACCAAATGACCACTTAATTAATGAATAAAATACTAACTCCAATATTTCAATCATTTTATTTGATTTATTTTAACTTTTAAAATTAGCATTCAATAAATTCAACTAAACTTTTATATGTTAAGCTCCCAGTTTTTATACTATATTTCAAGGTTACCACGTACATTCTGTTAACGCTGAACTTATTAACTGTTTTAATTAGTATCTGTTTTTATTCAATTCTTATCTATAATTACAGTTGTATAAATATATAACCATTTACAAAATTACCCAGGTATATAAAGCATAATAACTTAACGTAAAGTAAATGTAAAAGTAATGTTATTTAATGCTTTCAAAAAATTCGTATTTAATTAATTAACAATAAATTGTATCTAAATTGTCATTAATTAGTTTGTTAAATATGCATTTAATGAAATTTTTATGTATTATTATTAATAATTTATTACGTTTAAAAAAGGTTTGCAATTTATTATCGCAAATATACATGTATTTAATATATTTAAAGTCCAAAAATCACATGCTATAATAATAACATTTCACTTTATCTGAAGTATTCATTTAAATTAAACCACACTTTTATCACTACACTGTAGTTATTAATACAATATAAGCTATACATAGTTAAAACTACGATTACTTCAGACTAATTACCACTTTTCTAGTAAACAAACTTAATGTACTAAATGATAAATATTTTGTGATTTACATTTCTAGGTGAAAATAATATTGCAATAATTGTTGTTGGCTTAGCTGTCAACACGTGCTTTTCAAAATAGATTCACAATGTTCATATTGTATTTGCATTAAAAAAATTACAAATATATTTCATCTTATATTATTATTGTTAATTATGGTAAACTGTAGAACCTTATAATCGGTAATATATTGTTCTTATTCTCAATTAGTAAAGGAGATAACTTAAACTAATCAATATTTTAATAAACCATAAATTTAATAATGTAATAAATGACCAGAATATACAAATTTGCATATACAAATTTAATCCTAATAGATTTATGATCTCTATATACAGTATATGTCCTATGTAATTTCTGTTACACTTTATATTATTAAAACAATTTCATCAAGGTATTAAAACAAAGTATGTTTATAGTAAATTTTATTATTATATTTTATATTGGAATTATAAGTTATAATTTATAACATAGAATGATTGTTTAATATAAAGTAATTAACATTTATCCATTATCATTAAAATTCACAATAAGAAATGAGAGAATCAAATAACAGAAATTTATAGTATAAATAATTATAAAGTAATAAAATGCAATCACAATCGTCGCTCTACTTTCACGGGTATGGCTTTGGGAATCATTGCTCCGACATTGCAAAAGAATTCCAATGGTTTCTATCACATAAAATATAAAACATGTTTAAGACATTTTTAAAAACTTAAGTTAAGTTATATTAAATGACGAGACAAACCTCTGAGGGATAGAAACGATATCTATTGACCACAGAAATGAGTCCGAGTCTGATCTCCATCTGCGCTAATCTCATGCCAATGCAATTTCGAGGTCCGGCGCCGAACGGCAAGTATGCGTACGGATGGTGTGCTATGTTTTCGGCCAAAAACCTTTCCGGTCTAAACACTTCGGGATCCGCGAAGTTTTCCGGGTCTCTATGCATGGCATACGTCGGGATGTGAACGATATGACCCTTTTTGATGGTAATTCCGGTGCCCCTCAGCTCGTAGTCCTCATTGGGGGCTCTTTCCAAGAAGAAGGCGGCCGGAAACAGACGCTGTGTCTCCATTATAACAGCATTTAAATATTTCAATGAATTTAACTCATCGTAATCGACGCCTTTCTGTATAATTTGAACATTCATTTTGTTAATAATTTTTATTTTAACAATGATTTTGATAAATAAAATACTCACGAATTCATCGAAATATTTTTTCGACTCGAGATATAGTTTTTGCTGAACTTCGGGATAGTTTGCGATTTGGTTCAGACATAAAGACATTGTTGTGGCGGACGTCTCATAACCGGCTAAGAAGAAAAGCACGCATTGACCGATCAATTCATCGTTTGTAAGCGCTGTTTAAGATTTAAAAATAATTAATTTTGCAACAAAAAGAGGTTATAATATTCATTAATACTTTTATCGATGTCATCCGATGTCTGAAGTTCTTTGTATTTTTCCGAATGATTGTTATTGTCTTCACTGGCGATAGTATTATTATTTTCCTCTGAATCCAACATAAGTTGCAAAAAGTCTACTCTTTTCACTTCATTTTTATTTCTCTTTCTTTCTTCAATTATATTTAAAGTAAAATCTTTGAAAAAATTTGTAATATTGCTGTCAAACATAGAGATCTTAAAACGTTTGGCTAATTTGGGCACTAATACAGCAAATAATTGTTTTGGAGTCATATTTTTGCCAAACATTTTCTTTGCATTCTCTATAATAACATTGTTTTCATCAAACATTGCGTCCACTTTTGTGCCAAAAGCCACTTGTATTACAACTTCCATAGCGTAGGCGCCAAACAATCTCTTCATATCCTTCTCGCCATTAGTTTTGGCGATTTTGTCCAAATTGTCGATCAAACTGTTCCGACACTCGACTATCAAAGGCATCATTTTCTTGAGTTTTCCCGTCGAAAATGTCGGCGACATTATTGACCGGATTTTCTTCCACTGATCGTCCTGTACAGCACCTAACATATTGTCCATCAGTGGGTCAGCGCCCGTACGGAAGTCCTGTTTACATAATTTTTTTTATTAAAAATTATATTTGAATTTCAATTATATTTTTATCGCTTACCCTTCGGTTTGTAAATATATGAAAGTCTTTGACCAGAATATCGCGAATCAATTCCGGATCCGACACAAAGAGTACAGGTTTTGTAATTTCGTAGACTCCAAACACTTTACCATATCGTTTATACAAATCCTGTTCCCATTCATACCATTGTTTAGTGAATCTCGTGTATAGACTCACATTCACGGTCTTCACTCCCTGTGTCTCCCAATACGTACACTGAGAGGACACATATCTATTGATTTTAATTAATATTATTATTTAGTTTTTAATTATTTCAAAAAACCAGAATATATTTAATTACCTGTGAATCAGATATAATGTTGCCAATAGACAACTTGTTATCACAAACAACCACTTTATTAATGAATAGGAAAATATTAATTCTAATAATTCGAGCATTTTATTAATATAAGTAAATAACTTAAATCAGTATTTAATTAATTAAACTAGTTATTAGTTTTATTAAAGTTTTTTCAACATGAGCCAATGTTTTTATACAAAATTTCAGGGTTATGAGAGGACTTTTCGTTAAATTTGATAATTTTGTTTATAGTAAAATTTTATCTTTAATTAGTAGGTGCATAAATATATCACAAAATTTTTAAATTATTAAATAACATAATAAGTTATTATTATTAATAACTAATAACCATGAAAATTCATGAAAATATTAAAATTGCATAGTATGTGAACAAGGTTGCCTTATTTTTAGATTTTGTAAGAACTTTATATTATGATTTTGTGAGACATTATATAAAAGTTTTACAAAAAGCTTAAAAGTGCTTAATTTGCAGATTTTTTTGCTTATTTAAAAGTTCTTTTCGTTTAAATTAATCGATACTTTTATCACTACTTATCGTTAAAACACATGCATTAATGTATACATAATGTATACAATTACTTTAAATATTTTACCTCTTTTTTAGTAAACAACCTTAAGGTACTTTGTAATAAACATTTGTGATTAAAATTTATAGTATTAAAATTGTTGGTTTCAGATGTAATACTAGCTTAAAAAACAATTTATAACGTTTATGTTTAATTTGTATTAAAGAATAATTTATAAAACTCCAGATCAATTTCTATTGGAGCGGTCAAAGAGGTAAATTATTATTTTAATTATAAAATCAGCAAGCTTTTAATTAATGTTCAACGCACGTAATAATTGAAATTACAATTATTCTATAAATTATTTTTATTAATAAAAATCTATTAACTACTGTATTATACAATCATTTAGACAAAATTTGTAACATTCATAAAATGTTTTAATAAAATTAAAATAATTACAATTTAAATAAAATAATTTGGCGAATAATATGTACAATAATGTGAATGAATAGCCATTGAATCAAATGATATGCCATTCAATAAGACAGGCGAGTGTCAGGAATGAGAAGAATATGCAAATTAAATATATTCCGTGCAGTTTTGTTGCCTTGAATTTTGTTAATATCATAATAAGTAGTGTTGAGCCCAAACTCAATGATATCGTCGCGTATAATAAGGTAACCATTTTTGAATAATGTAACTAATAATCAATTGATTTAAGAATTAATTTTCAATTGTTTTACATTATTTGCTAGCAATAAATGTTTCACTTACTGTCACTGTTGTACCGCTACTGAGTAGTACAGTATAGGGAATACCGATTCCTAACAACATATCTATTTTATAAACAAAATTAAAAATAATTTAATAACTATAATTAAATTCATATAATTAATAGTTAATTTACTGAGTACTGGTCCACCAAAACAGGCAGAGATACCCATCCGAGGGAAACCATTGCGAGCCATACTTATGTTGGATATAAAATCTACGATAAAAGAAATTAAATCATTTGTTTTAGTATACAATGGGTTGCAATGAGAGGGAGTGTATGTGTGAGAGAGTGAATGATTACCTCCAACACTGTTACCCCAGGCGAGGACAGTGAGGCCGAGCAGGAGGTGACTTAGATTGAAGATAATGCCGATTGCGGTCAAGAGGTCGACCACTTCGTTGGCGAGAGCGTAGATCCAGGAGACGGCGATCACGAAACCGAAGTACGCGAACACCCAGTGATAGACCGGCGGCTTCTCGGTCTCCGACGTGAAGAACACGACCAGCGCTACCAGTATTGACACTCCAAACACTATTCCCTCCATTATATAGTTTTGATCGTTTGACACTTGATTTGTATTGAAAAAAATACGATTACAATCCGTTTTTATTTGTTAACATACTTTGCTTTTGTGGAAAATATTTATATATACAATGGAGCGGCTGAACAAACAAAGTTAGTGCTAATATAAAACTAATTGTGTTTTTCAACTACTGATAGAGAGGTTATTAATTTTGAATACAATTTCTGTTACTTTTGGTACAATTAAAGTACACATACTTTCAGTGATGAATAGGAAGGCCTGCGGACT